AAAAAAAAAAAATTTGTGTTGGGTAGGCATGGTGACGCACACCTATAATCCCAGCATGGCTAAGGCAAGATTACTGAGTGTGAGGGCAGCCTGGGCTACATAGTGAGGTGGAGGCGAGCCTGGATTGCAGTGTCACCCTGTCTCAAACAAACAAAAAGTGAAAATAAAAACAAACCATTCATACCATACAAAGGCCATAGATGTGTGTGAAGGGAAGCTTTGAGACCTAACCTTCTTTCATTAATGTTGCTGTGGTACATAGTAAGTGAATCTGACATTATCTTTGAGCAACCTAACATGCAAGGCATATGGTTGGACTCTCCCTTCCCCACCCCCACACACATTTCTTATTTCCTCTTGCCTTCATTTATTTAACTGGAACCTTTATAAAAGTAGATACAATACTGAAATAATGGCCTCAGTTGGTATACTCTTTATGAGATTACTGTAAAGCATGTAGAAAATATCTAGAAGTCAGAATGTAACCACTATAAATTCTGAAGGGAGATGGCTTAGTAGTTACACTCTGTTTTTAAGTTTTCTGGGCTGAGAATGTGGCTTAGCTGGTCGAATCCTAGCCTAGCATGCAGCAAGCCCAGCATAAAGTGGACATGGTGTCAAACACCTGGAGATAAGAAGATCAGAAGTTCAAGGTCATCCTCAGCCACATGAAAACTGTCTCAAAAAAAGAAAAATTTATTAAATAAAAATGTCCTGTAAGAAGTGTTAAAATAGTTTAATGCATATATAATATTTTTTCCTAAAGCAATAAGGTAAGGGTAAGGCCTTCCCTTCAGTTGGGCAAGTAGGTAAATTTGAACTTAGTAAAGTCAACAGACTTTATTATTTTCTTCCAAGTCAACAATATTTCTCAAAACTATTAAAGAGCAAACACAACCTTGACCTCAGGAAAGCTTAGATCCAGATGTACAAGACCCTCTCCCAAAATCATGTGGAATAAATAAAACATCTTGTTTAAAAAGAGTGAAGAAAGTAGATCCTGAAGAGCTGGCTTAGCAGTTCAGAGCACCAGCTGCTCTTTTAGAAGACCTGAGATGGGATTCCTAGCACCTACATGGTGGCTCACAGCCAGCTGTCCATCACTCCAGTTTCAGGGGCTTGGACACCTTCTTCTGGCTTCACTGGGGACCAGGCATGCACAGGATGAACAGACATAGATGCAGGCGAAACACCCAGACACATAAAATAGAAATGAGAAATTTAAAAAGAACAAAGAGAGGTGACTATAGAAATCATGAAAACTAAGGGAAGGTTTAACTTCATAGCAGATTCTCAGAGTTACTGAAAGGTAACAGGTTGAGCTAGCTAAAGACTCCAGAAATTCTCACACTGATGCCTACAGAAGAAAATGTAGGTGGGTAAGATTCTTAGTAGTGTAGATACTTTTCTACTATTGAAGATAAATAAAGTTCAGAAGATGTAACTTTTCAAAAGACAAGTAATGGATTAAAATCAAAGAATGAGATTGATGATACTGTTTACAGGGCCTAAGGGAAAGCAATGGCAAAATTTACTGTTTGTATAACTAATTAGTCAACTGAGTCACTTGTATTCTCTGAACAGTGAGTGGTATATATTAAATTGAGATTAAGTTTTATTTACTTGCAGTACTGGAATTTGAACAGAGAGCTGTATGCATGCTAGGCAAGCTAAGTTACTACAAGGCAAAGTAAGAAGACTGAATGAAATACTGTATGTTAAATGCAATGCCTGGCATATTATAATACTTCAGAGAGAGACAGAGACAGAGAGACAGACAGAGAGAGCGCACTTGGAAGAATGGCAAGTACTGTTAACCACTGAACCATCTCTCTAGTACCTTTTATTATCTTTTTTTAAAGGTTATCTGGGTTGTTTGTTTCTCTATTAAAAATTTTAAAAAGATATCTGGTTTGTTTGCATCTCTGTTTTCATTTGGGGCTTTAAAAAATTATTAAATAGGGGCTGGAGAGATAGCTCAGTGTAGAGAGATAGCTAAAAATACTTGCTGCTGTTGCAGAAGACCAGAGTTGGAACTCATTGGGAAGTTTATAACTGCCTGTAATTCCAGCCCCAGGGGATCCAACACCCTCTTCTGGCCTCCTTGGGGACTTGCATGCAAGTAGATAGAAACACTCAGATATACACATACACATAAATACAAATAAACCTTAAAAAAATACTAGGGTCAATGATTGGCTAGAGGCTGTTAGCACAGAGAGGTTAAGTACAAAGGAGTATGGGTAAGCTTGCTTTTGTGGGTAACAGAAATATTACCAGTGGTTATATATCACAGATAGGAATGTAGCAAAGGTTTTTATTCAAGGCACAGTGAAAATATAGAGTATATGTGCTTCAGGGGAGCAGTGGGCCCTAGAAAGCCCTGGTTACTGCTTGGGGCTTCCTTTTATGGGCTTAAGAAAAGGAGGAGTTATTTCCTAGGGGGTGGTGTATGGGTACTTTCGTTTCTTTTGGTTTTTGGTTTTTGGTTTGCTGTTTTGATACGTAGGCTTGTGTTTTGTAAGCCTTTGTTCATTGCACATGTCCTTTCTTATACTGTATCTGATTTTAATTATATGCATGCCCCATCATAAATAGGAATAAGATAATCAGTGGTTTTTCCCTAAAAGTTCACTCTCATGACAGTTTGCCTTACAGCATATGCATCCAAAGCCAGTTTTGGCTGGATTGTCCCATTGTCCTTTGCTCCTGAGTATGTGTTTGACCACAAAAGGGGAGTTACTAAGGGTTTCTCAGGAGTTAATTAATTAAGTCAGCTTAATGTAGGCAAGGGTTTCAGGTTACAGATGCATTAATTGGGAAAGATGTGTGTGTAGCTCAAGCTAAGAAGGGTCCTAAGTTGCCGAGCTATCCCTATGCTCACTAGCCTTAGAAATGGATACTACAGAATATATGTTACTAATTGTACACTTAAAAATTGGTGAATCATTGCCATAAGTTATATCTCAATGAAGTGATTTTTTTTAAAAGTACAAATAAAGCTGTCTTTTGACTATTTCGTACAGGTTTTTCCATTCCCTGGAAAGGTTCCCTTCCTCCATAACTAATCAGGGAAGTGCTATTGACTACTGAATTCTTTTTGAAATCTTGTGCTGAGTTCACATTCCTGCATGCATATAAACAGACACGTAATGATGATCTGCATTATTGTGGGGCAAAGTCTCATATAGTTCAGGCTAGACTCACATTTGCTATCTAGCCAAGATGACCTTGTCTTCCATTTCCTCCACTTTCTGTCTCCCCCAAGTGCTGGGATTACAAATGTGCCCTATCTGACTGCAGAACTTTGTCTTTTGTTTGTCAGTCAGTCTCATGTATTCCAGGCTGGCCTTAAACTTTGTAGTGGAGCATGTCCTTACACTTCTGATTATCCTCTCGGCCTCTCAGGTGCTGGGACTGCAGGTATGTATGTGTCACAACTGGTCTCATGCAGTGCTGGGGATGAATGAACCCAAAGCTTTTGTGACAAGACTTTCACCAACTGAGCTATATCCCCAGAAATCTGTTTTTACATCACCTTACTGTATTTTCTATGTGTTCCCTCTCCCCTCCACTAAACCTCTTTGGAGATGTTTTTATTAGGACAACTGAGTAGAGTTCTGGTTCATCCTAACTCCTCATAGTATTCTATCTAGAGTATGGATAGACCCTAGTTTATTTGGTCATCACCCTATCACTGTGGTGTGCCAAGTTTTCTGCTTTCTTAATGCTTTCAGACAAGAGGGAAAGGTGGGGTGTTGCCAATAACATTAAATAGGGAAAATGCTTACAAACTTTAAGAGTTGGTGAACACTAACAAGGGTGGATTGTGGGTACTTCTGATGATAAACTTCAGCAATGGTGGTAGGGGAAGTATGTGGGAGGAGGTGAAAGTCATAAGAAAATTTTCTTTAAAAAAACAAATGATATTTATACCTTATTTTGTAACCAGTAAAACAGTAGCGAATCTTTCATTATTCTTCTGGGAATGAAAAGGTCTCAGAAAAGCAGTCTTTACTTGACTTCTCAAAGCATAAATACTCAGCTGGGTGTGGTGGTACAAGCCTAGAAACCCAGCCACTCAGGAAGCAGATGTAAGAGGATCACAAATTCGAGGTCGTCCTGCCTTTTCTGCCTGGCAGTGGAAGAACGTTTCTTAGCACGCTTGAGATCCTCTATTCAGTCTCAGTGTTGGTAGAGGAAGGCAAAAAGCCTTGAAGCACTCTTGTAATTAGTGGGATTAGCGATTTCAATATAACTTGGCATCAGGTCTAGGAGCTTTCCACCTTTACTCTACCAGCAGGTCTGTTTTTTAAGTATCTCCGGAGATGCTAGGGTCTGTTAGATGCTTTATTTGCTACGCTTTATTTACTATCTAATACTTTAATTAAACTGCTAAACTCAGAGACCTCTTTCCCCTTAGAGGGAGACTTTAGAGGTCTATAAGTAAAAAATAAATAAATAAAAATTCTATACGAATTTCCTTTGTTGTGCGGGCTGTCGTTGGATCTCCTATCCCAGATTGCTGTGAGCAGCCGAGTTATTTAAGGATATTTCACATGAAATCCGTCTCCGCCCATCTCCCCACCTAGCCTGGAAAGAATCTTTATTGTTTAAAACAGGGTCTTTCTTCGCTTCTTCATTGTGGCAAGCATCTTGGTCGCGTGCAAGGTTCGATTACATTAGTGGGAGTGGGGAACCACCAAAGCTCCCCGGAAGGAGGAAGTCACCCAAAGGCCAACAAGAACGTCACTACTTAGCCCACAATGCACATCTCGCCAGCCTGGAACCGTGGACTACAACTCACTCATCCGGGCGGAAGCCATTCACTCCGAACCCCATTGGAAGCGATGGAGCAAGGAATCCTGGGAGCCTGCCTGTCCTTCCGTGCGCATGTGCAAACCGTCCTCGCTGGGCCGTACCTCCGGTGGGTCGCACGTCGGTGAAGCCGGCTCAGGCCCTGTGCGCGCAGGCGCCGTGGTGCGGGCGGCGTCTGCAACGCAGGGGGGTGGGGCCGCGGTGACGCGATTCTGTCCGCGTTGGAGCGGGCGGGCCGCCGCCAGAGCCTCCGCGGCCGCCGTGTGACGTGGCACAGCCGAACACTTAACGCCGCGCCGGAGCCACCGCACCAGTCGCCGAGCAGCTCCCGGTCCCGCTACGTCGTGTCCCGCGGCTTCGCCGACACGCCAGCCAGCGAGACCGTCTTCAGCCTTTTCTCTTCCGCCCCGTTGGTCGTGAGCCGGAACCGAGGAGGCCCGAGGACGCAGCAGACCCCCTCTTTGGACCGTCGCAAGTGCCACGACCGCAATGGGCCTCACCATCTCCTCTCTCTTCTCTCGCCTCTTCGGCAAGAAGCAGATGCGCATTTTGATGGGTGAGTGAGGGGCCGGGAGCCGGGGAGGGCCAGGTGTTTGCCCGGGGCCTCGGGCCCAGCCTTCCCCGGCCGAGGTGGGGGAGGGCGGACAAGAAGACTGCTTCAGGGGGAACAATGGGGGCGAGGGGTGAGTGATCTGTCTCCCACAGAGGCTGAGCCGGAGACTTGGGCCAGATTTCCTCGCTCTCGGCTTTGCTTGCCTTTCTCTCCCTGATCTAACTGAGAGCCTGAGAAGAGAGAGCCGAGCTCCAGGGTTAGTTCACCGTGGCGAGGCCATCCTAAGGGTGCAATCTTCCGCTGTGGGCAGCGGCCGAGAGTGAGGCCGGGCGACTCCAGCCTTCCTCCTCCCCCTTTCCTGGTCGTGTACGCCCTGTGCACACACCATTGGTATGTGAGCCCAGCCAGGAGCCGCCTGGGGCAGGAAGTGACCAGGCCCACTGTGGCGAAGGAGCACCCAAGGTTTGAGCAAAAAGCCCGGAGTCCTCTGAGCTCATTTTACTAAACTTTACTTTGATCTGGATTCGACTTTACTTTCTCATGGCTATGAAGCTTATTCTGTGAAAACAGAATTTATCCCGTGACCGTCTTTCAGCTCTAAACCTAAAACACTGAACCTGTTTGGTTTACTATCTTTGCTCTTTCAAACTAATTTTATCTATCTGGCCTAGATAATAATAAAATTAAAAAGTCAACTTTAGAAACGAAAAATTTTTTTTAACTGGATAGTTCTAAAGCACCTGAACTGAACATGACTTTTGAGTTCGGGGTAATCTATTAAAAAATAGTTTGTTTAAAAACTGCTTCTCAGTGGCAGGTTTTATTGCCCACTGAGGCCATTCACAAGGATGAAGTGCGAGTTCTCTCCTTAATACCTCACAGCTGAGTTCCAAGGACCTGAATAGTATCTTTTGACACTTGTTGAGTATGAGGAGAAAGGGATCGTATTGAGCACCCCCTACCAAGAAGTGCTTCAGTTTCTGTAATGTTGCAGAGTATGGGGGTACAAGTTGGTTATTGTTCAGCTTCTTTACAATCCAGAAAACAATTGTTCATGACTCATTCACAAAGCTAAGGGAAAATGTTTTCTTTCACAGTTCCTCAGCTCCCCTTTGTGAAGAGGACAGTTATTTTAGGAGGGCCGGTGTGTTCTTTAAGCCTTACGTGGGTGGAAATTGCCAGTGTGGAAAAGGACCTGAAGTCAAAGGAAGGACTTTGGACTGAGATAAATGAGTGTCTTTGAGATTAGCCAGTACAAGATTGTGTTACTGAAGAAGAAAGAATTTATTGTAGATGGATTCTGACTTTCTTTGTTACCGTCCTGGGCTGGCTAAAGGAATGGCTGAGAAGGGTAAAATGATGCTTTAAGCACCTTACCACGTTTGAGACACTTTCCCATCCATCCCAAGTAATGACGGGAAGAAGACGGAAGTAGGCAAGCTTTTAACCTGCTGTGATGATGAAAGGGAAAGAAGTCATGGGTTGGGGTTACTCTTTATGTTAAGTAGATGATCACTCAGGTTCGCTTTCTTTTTGCTGTTTTTGTTCTATGATACAGGGTCTCTCTACATAGCGCTGGCTGTTCTGGAACTCACTGTATAGACCAGGCTGGCCTTAAACTCACAGTGATCCACCCTCCTCTGCTTTCCAAGGGCTGGGGGTGAAGATGTGTGCCACCACACCTGGAGTTTTCCTTGGCTAAAAGCACTCTATTCATAATGTCAACTTTTATGATAACTCATTAGAGGAAGTATAAGTGTCAGGGTTATGTGCATGAACTGGGAGCATAGTGGTTTGGAAGTTTGGTAATTCCTAAGAGTTTTGGGGTTTGTTGTTGTTTCTTTGTGGCTTTATGAGTGACTGACCTTGTAATCAATAATCACTTTTATGGTATCTTACCCATTCAAGTATTGGGAATATCAGTGAATGGATGATTGTATGTACACATGTGCTCCTGTGTGTGTATTTGCTTTGTGGTGTGGTTTTGAGACTGGAACTCAAGACCTTGTGCATGTAGTCTACATATTGTACCCTAAACTTAGCCCTGAATGATTTTTTTAACCCCTCTCTCTCATTAATGGGCTCATATTTTCTTTATCAGGCTTATATATGCCTCCTTGAGTCAAAAGCTTTTCATAGTCTGTTTATTCTTTTGGTGCTGGGGATTAAAATTATTGTCTCGAGTTTTGAGCATATAACACAACCACTGAGCTACATCTGTAGTCCTAGATTACTGTTTCAAAGCATATAAAGAGACAGTAGTAGTTAGCTAATGTGTCTGGATTACCCAGCTACTGTGAAGATGAAAACGTAATTTCCGTACTAGCTGCTCTCCCAAAATTAGAGAAGATGTTGGAAGATATGTCTAATAGTTAACCATAATTAAAAATAAGTCAAGCCTGGGTTAGTGTGATGTTGTGTGCCTGTAATCCGAGCACCAAGGAGACTGAAACAGGAGGATCTCAAATTTGAGGCCAGGAAGACCATGTTTCAAACACTAACAAATAGCCAATACAATATATTGAATTTAAAATCTTCTAGACTCTTTTTTTTTAAAGATTTATTATTTATGATGTATACAGTGTTCTACCTGCACACCCGAAGAGGGCACCAGATCTTATTACAGATGGTTGTGAGCCACCATGTGGTTGCTGGGAATTGAACTCAGCACCTCTGGAAGAGCAGCGAGTGCTCTTAACCTCTGAGCCATCTCTCCAGCCCCAAAATCTTCTAAACTCTTGATCAACAGAAATGATGTACTAGTTATTTATAAGGGAAATTTACTCACTTGAATAATACTAAATTTACGTTGAAGGACAGTTAGTTTCTACCTTAGATTACTCAGGTAGCCAGAGTTAGAAAGCAGTAAGCTCTGAAGTGTAAGATAGGTCCATATCTTTGAGGTCTATGATAAGGTGTGCTTTTGGTAAATCAATACTTAAATTTTATTTCTGAAATTACTAATGTATTTGGTAGAGGAGTTACTAATTTTAACCTATTTTCTTTGAACTTGGGGAAAAGGCTTCTGAGGATGATCTTTAACCACTGAGCCATCTTGCCAGGTTTTTTGAGAAAGGATCTCATATAGCACAGGCTGACCTGCTTCCTAAGGAGAACTTGAACTTCTGATGTATCTCCTGAGTACTGGGAAGGATCCTCTATTTGCCAATTTTAAAAAATACACTATAAGTAATAAAAATATACTAATAAGTGAGGCTTTAAGCTTAGAATGATGTTTCATTTTTTTCCCCTCAAAAACATTTTATAAATCTTTTTATTAAGGTTAATTCTTGGTTCTGATTCTTTTTTAAGTAGTTTTTGTGAAATTTAGACATGAAAAAAGTGATCATCACCTGTTATTCAACCATTTCACTATTATTACTCTGTGTGTGTGTGTGTGTGTGTAAGTGAGTGAGAGAGAGAGAGAGAGAGAGAGAGAGATCTGGAACTGGAGTTACAGGCGGTTGTATACTGCCCGGTGTGAGTGTTAGGAATTGAACTCAAGTCCTCTAAAAGAACAGTAAATGCTTACCACTGAGCCATCTCTTCAGCTCCTACTTGTCATATTTATTCTCCACATTTTAGAAGGTTTTATTCCTTTAAAATGGTTTTGTGTTGTTCCTTTTTACTTAATATATTACAAGCATTTTCTTATGCCATTATTTGCAAACATAATTACTAACCTTTGATAGTTTGTTGCTAATTAACTCATTGATAAAAGGGAAGATACTCTTCAACTATGTTGGGTAGAAAATCCAAACATTAAAAAAAAAAGAAAAAATCCAAACATTAATTTAAAAAAAACCTAACCTTATTTTTCTGTAACTGGTAGTCCCAATTTCAGTTTAAATGGTCAAACCTCTGAGGAACTAGATAGAATATTAAGCTATAGTAGTCTTAAAATCTTAAAAGTAAGATCACATTATATAAATACTATTTGAGAGCTCTGGCATCAGAATTAGCTTTCTTACGTTGGTGGGTGTTTTGTGACACAAGGTCACATATAGCCTAGGTTGGGTTGGAATTCCTGATTTTTCTGTCCCATTTCCCATAATCTGAGATTACACCACTGACCAACTATTTTGTTTTTCTGATTTTTGTAAATAGAGGTACATGTTCATAAAGCATAAGCCACCGTGAACCTTCAAGATGTCTCAGCAGATAAAGGCACTTGTTGTCAGACCTAACCACTGGACTTCAGTCTCTGGGAGTGGAATGGTGGAGGGACAGAAGTGACCCCTGCACGTTGTCCTGACTCCCCAGGCACTGTGCATTCATGCATGCAGCCACACACATGCACATAGAAACTCACACACAAAATAATTAAATAAACTGTAATAAAAAATGTGCCACCCCTAAAGTATAATTGTTATGTTTACAAAGTTGTGTAACATTGTCAAATTCTAGAATATTTCCATGACTGCTTTTTTTTAACATAATTTTTATTGACTCTGGGAATTTTACATCACGCACCCCAATCCCATTCATTTCCCAGTCCCTCCATACCTCACCCCTGTAGCATCCTCCCAAAAGAAAATTTAAAAAATATTAATTAAAAAACAAATCAAAACAAACAAAAAGCCACTTCTAGTCCTCCGTCTTTCTTGTCTCTCCAACACCTCTTCATTCATTGTAATGGCATAGTATCCCATAACTTTTATCAGTCACTGCTGTTTTTCTCTTTTAGCATCCATGGTAACCACTAATAGTCGTGTTTCTATAGGTTTTACTGTTTTGGACATTTTAGCTAATGAAATAATAATGTGTGGCTTTTTTAATGTCTGGCCTTTTCACTTGCCATAGTTGTTTTCATCATTTGTGTAACATGTAGTAGTAGTCTGTGATGTTTTGTGGCCAGATGGTAATTCCCTTGTGTGGAAAACTTTAGTTTGTTTATCCACTTATCAGTTATTTATAGTTATTTTTAGTTCTCATAAATAATGTCATTGTGCACATTTGTGAACAAGTTTGTGTGTAGACTCAAACTCATAGCTACACCTGCCTCTGCCTCCCAAGTGTTGGGATTAAAGGTACAACATCCCACCTGGCCCAAAGGTAAATTTTGATGTTAATAAAATTTGATCACAATCACCCAAAGAGGTCTTACGCTAAAATCTGGTTGGGGTTTTTTTGTTTTTGTTTTTTGTTTTTGTTTTTGCTCCTTTCCCCAAATCTAGAGCCTTGTACTTGCTATGCAGGAGTTCTACCATTGAGCTACCACCCTCAGATTTACTCATCTTGTTGATACTATTTCACATTTGGAAAACAAAATACTTGTGTAACAGTTAGCCTTTTTTGGGTCTGTAAGTGAGAGCAGACTAGTCACTGACTAATATATGTCATAGTCCTTTGGAAAGAAAAAGCTGGTACCCAGTATCAGCAAGTGAGAGTCAGGGTTCAACTAGAGAGCATCGGAATAAGGAAATGAATGGATGATTCCCACCCTTCTCTCACTCCTCAACACCCCTCCTCACCTTCCCTTTCACCAAGGTAGATTCCTAAAAATCGGTGGGGTACAAACCATGTTCATGTTGTCACGGCCTAGGGGCCTTTTCTATTGCTGTCAAGAGGAGTGCTGACTTTCTTCCTTTTAAACTGCATCAGAAAGATGCTACTGTTTTCAGGATATGGGTTGAAAAGGTTGTTCTATAGGTTGAAGTCCAACTCCTGTAGCTTTTCATTTCTCTTGGACCAACTAAAAAGTCACATTGAAGTGCACAGGACTATAACCTGATAGGTGAGGTTAAAACCTGCTAGCACTGTTTTCATGTCTTAAGTTGTGGTTTGATTTAAACATTAAGTGGGTATTTTTGCCTAAACTAATGCTCTGTTGATTTTGTTTTTAAATTCTGGGATAAAATAAGTGAAGGCAGCCAAATGAGGTGTTCTTTAAAAAAAAAAGTACATTCAATGAAGTTATTTGATATTGATCTTTTATTTATGAGAGTTTTAATCGACAATATATAGGTTTTGAGAGTCATACTTAAAAGCATTTAATTTGTTCTTCACTATTACTATAATAAAGAGGCTTATATAATACCTTCTAATATAGACTTTGTCCCATAAACAAGCACATTCCCTTCTACTTACCTCCATCTCATGAATTAACATTTAGCCATATGTGATAGCACATGCCTGTAATTCTAGCACTTGAGAGGCAGTGGCAGAAGCATCAGGATGCTGAGGCCAGCTTTGGTACAATGTGAGTTTGGGGTCTGGGCTACATGAGATCCTGTTTTAGAGAATAACAACAACAACAAGATTAAAATTAAGAATTGGAGAACAATATGATAGGACCATTTTCAAAACACAAATCAAGACTTTGAATCATATTTGTGCATATTTGATATTGATACAGATTTAGTCAAAATTAGTCCTATCAGGAGACTAGTACATAGCTATATATGTCCGCCCGCCCCCAGCATTAAGAACTTTTTAAAAGAAAGATTTCACTTTTAATTTTTAGTTATTTATGTCAGTGTGCGGGTATGTGCACATGAGTGTACTTGCCTGTGCAGGCCAGAAGAGAGCATCCCTTAGAGCTGAAGTGAAAGGCATTTATGAGACATGTGATAGTGGCTGTGAGGAACCAAACTAGTACTTACTCTAAACCACTAAGTCACCTCTCCAGCATGAAGAGCATTTATTCAAAATACACTGTGTAAATATTAAACAGACGATTAATTTTTGATCTGGAGATGTGGCTTAGTTGGTGTACTATACTGGCTTCTCCATTTCTAACAGGCACAGCTCACCTGTAATCCTAGCACTAGTATTCAGGGAGATAGAGGCAGGAATATCAAGAGTTGAAGGCCATCCTCAGCCACATAATGAGTTTGAGGCCAATCTGGGATACATAAGAGACCCTGTCTCCAACAAAGGCACTCACCTACTTGGTGATACAGTGCCCAGAGATTAGAACTCAAGCCTGCCAGTTCCTTTTTTTCTGTGTCTATAGGTCTACAAGGAAAAGGGCAAAGATTAGGAAGGTGTTGGTGGGGTGGGGGGGAGAGAAAAATGAAAAATTACATTTTACTTTGAAACTAAATTATTGTTGAATTGCTTATGTATATTTGATTCAGAGTTTAAATCTATGGTGTCTTCTTCTAGTTGGATTGGATGCTGCTGGCAAGACGACAATTCTGTATAAACTGAAATTAGGGGAGATAGTCACCACCATTCCCACCATTGGTAAGAAAATTTATAAATAATTACATGCAGTGAAAAATTAAATTTTGTTTTTGTTAATCTTAGAGTTGATATTGGTAAGACTTAAAAAGCTATTCTAAGAGAATTCCACATTAAAAGGGTTTATTTCTTGGTACTTAATTATGGACAGTAGTCATTTTGTTTTTTGTTTTTTCTTACAGGTTTTAATGTGGAAACAGTGGAGTATAAGAACATTTGTTTCACGGTATGGGATGTCGGTGGTCAAGATAAAATTAGGCCTCTCTGGAGGCATTACTTCCAGAATACCCAGGTGAGATATACCATATATTTGTAACTTTAATTTATAGATTTCATATTCTGAATGTTATATTGAATGTTGACTTGTTTACATTCTTATCACCCATTTCATTCTTTAGTATACTCTTAGTCATGCCTTCCAAGTTCAGTTACATAGTGTATAAGAATTAAATGTAGCTACTCTAGTGAGATTTTGGATAGGAGTAAATGAGTTCTCAAGAATGAATTAAGTATTTTATCAGTAGTTCCTTTGATTCTTAACCTTAATTTTGAGTTATATATCACAGTGGACCTAAGACAGTGGTAGAACTTGATTTAGTTCAGTCTGCTTTGTTAACTTGTAGGAGATTTTTATATTATATAGGATATACTGGCATGAAAGAGACCTTAGGGATTGTGTAGATTGGGAGTTGTCAAATTTGGCTGCACTTTTGAGGGAGTCTTGAAAATCTCACAAGTCCAGTCATAGGTCAGAATCTTGAACATGTAAGCCAAGCAGTCTTAGTGTTCTAGCACTTTAGTAAGTGTGTGAATCACCTGGGAATCTGTTAAAAGTACAGATTGATCCTGTGAACAAGCTTCTTAGATTTGATACTTCTAACAAGTTCTTTTGTGGTATTGCTTTGGCTAGTTTGTGTTCTTATGATAGCAGCTCTACTGACATTTTTGAACTGTGGGGAGGCCTCTCTTGGATTGTAGGATGTTTAATAGCATCCTTTGTGTCTACCTACTAAATGCTAGTAGCCACTGTACCTTCCAAGTGAGGTTGTGACAACTACAAATGCTTGCACGCTTGCACACTCATTTCCTGGTAAGAACAACACTTCTACTTCTGTTCTCGTGTTCTCTCTCCCTCTCTGAGTGCTAAGATTGCAGGCATGCACCATTATGCTGGGGTTTCTTTTCTTTGGTTTTTTTTTTTTTTTCCCCCCGAGACAGGGTTTCTCATGTAGCTCTGGCTGTCCTGGAACTTATTACTCTGTAAACTCACAGAGATCCACCTGGCTCTGCTTCCCTAGTGTTGGAATTAAAGGTGTGTACCACCACCACCTGGCCCTATGCTGAGGTTTCCAAATGTGAGGAAACAGAAACTTAGAAGTGACTTCAAGATTGAATTATAGTTGGACAGCAATGGCACATACTTGTAATTGGAACCTGTAGTTGAACTTGGGAAGCAGGAGGATGGCTCTAAATTCAGTCCAGACTGTTCCTGCATAGCAAGTTCCAGGCCAGCTAAGGCTCCATAGGGAGAACCTATCTTTAAAAAGCAAAGATTGAGGAACTCTTTTTTTGTTGTTGTTAACCTGGTCTCAGTTCTTTTGTCTTTTCTACCATAATGAGGACTTATACATCAGGTGTTTGTTTTACTACCAAAGTTGAGAATTTTTGACGTAGTATACTAAACACTTGGGATATTTAAGATTTGCAATGTTGTGCTTATTCTCCATTGAGGCATACTATTGCCTGGTAGCAATAAACACCCTTGTTGAGTAGCTGGAACAATCCTGGCCTAAGTAGTACAAGTGTATGAATATAAAAATAATTATGTGGCATAATTTTTTTTACTAAAAAACAAGAGTGTTAATTTCCATGGCTTTGGATAGAAAACAGATTTTGCAAAAGTACAGGCTTTAAAAAAACTTCATTGTGGAAATAGAAGCTAACACAATAAACTCTCATGTGTATCTGAAGTAAAATTAGGCATGATGTAAATCTTGCTGATTTTAAACCTTGTAATAATAGTCTTATCCTTATATTTGTTTCGAATGCTTAGTAAGACATGTGAATCATGAATTTGAGATTAGATTTGTCCTGGCCTCCTTGGATGACCTTAGAATTAAAGACCAGAGCATTCTTCATCCTAGGGAGTTCTTGCCTGCTAGGGAAAGCCCTGTGTGGCCGTGTGGCCTGGTGTAATTACAACTAAGCTCTTCTAGCTTGCATTTCTAGCATTCCTAACCACTTCTAACTCCAACACTTAAATCAAACTAATTGTTTATTGTGGTAAATTCCTCTCCCATCATTAGATAAGTCCAATTATTTTGCTTTTCTAAATAATTCATTTGGCCTTTTTTTTTTTTTTGGTTTTTCGAGACAGGGTTTCTCTGTGTAGCTTTGCGCCTTTCCTGGAACTCACTTGATAGCCCAGGCTGGCCTCGAACTCACAGAGATCCGCCTGGCTCTGCCTCCCGAGTGCTGGGATTAAAGGCGTGCACCACCACCGCCCGGCTGGCCTTTTTTAAAAGGCTGATTTTTATTTTGCCTGGTGCCTGCAGAGGCAGAAGAAGTTGTTAGATTCCTGGAAACTGGAGTTAAAGATGGTTGTGAGCTGCCATGTGGGTGCTGGGAACTGAACCTGGGTCCTTTATCCGAACAGGAAGTGCTCATAACCACGGAACCAACTCTGCTGCACCCAGTTTGGCTTTTTAAGTCATCTTTTCTTCGAACAGATGGACTTAATTTTAGAAGTCGAGCTTTTCCATACTGTTGATCCTAGACTATCAGGAAAGGACTAACTTAGAACTTATTCTCAAAATCTCCTTCCTACTAATGTTACTTTGGAACAGATGACATTATTTACATTTAGAAAATGAAAATGGAATGTTAGAAAAATGAGATTGGGACTGGGAAGATGGCTCAGCAGTGTTTGTGCTCTCACAAAAGACCTAGATTTGTTTTCTAGCACCCAAATGGTGCTTTAAACCATCTGTAACTCCAGTTTCAGGGGGATCTGATGCTCTCCTCTTCTGACACCTCTGCCCACACATTAACACTCAGGCATACACACACTCTCATTAAAAAATAAAATAAGTTAATTAAAAAATTGTGTTGGGGTCAGGGTTTTAGAAAGAATATTTAACCAAGCACTTAAGTATAATATAAGGTATAAACTTTTAACAGAGATGCAATTTACTATCATTTTATTAGCTGAGAATTTCATGCTGTGTCATGTGGAAGTTTTCAGAAAAGTCTTAATTCAGTTATTCCCCATTGCTACTTTTGTTGTATAGAATTATATTTGTGAATAGCTTTAAAATTCTTACTGTTGCTTTTTTTGTTACGGATTTCTTATTTGACAATGCAAACCTTGAATTTTTCATGAGATATTTGCTTAGGGCTTGTTTCTTCCAATTGGAGTTACCAAGCAACATTTTGGAGCACAACTTTTTTTATTTCTATGATAAAGTATATAAAAAACTGTTGACTGAGCAGCTCGTATTGATGTATTTAGGGATGAATACATTAATAAAGCAAAAAAGGCCATGAATTTGAAAAAGAGCAAGAGGCTGGGGGTGATTGGGAGGGGCTGGAGAGAGAAAAAGGAAGAGGAGAAATGATGTAATTATATTCTCAAAAAATAAATATATAATAATTTAAAGAAAAAAATTATATTTATACAGTTCTCTTCTTACTAATGAAAATGCTTTTTCTTAAAGATGATTAACTTTAAACTATCAGGAAGTTATTTCATACACTTGAAAAGAACATGCTAGCACCATTATGCAATTCTCAGTTCTAATTTCTTTATTTAAAACAAAAAAACTATTGAAGTATGTCATCTCTCCTTTTTACACTTTGCACATGCCTTTACTGCATACATAAATCCACATAGGTCATAAATTTTTGAGGAGCCTTTCACTTTTTCCTTTTGTCTTCACTATGTAGCCTGTTTATTTGTTTTATTTTTGAGACTGGGTCTCACATAGCCCCTGCCACCCTCAAAGTCAAAGTATAGCTGATGGTCCCTTGGAGCTTGTGATCTCCTGCTTCTGCTTCCTGAATATTGGAATCACAGTGGAGTGCAACCCCACACCCAGTTTTATTCAGTGTAAGAGCTCAAACCCAGGGCTTCCTGCTTGTCAGACAGGCATCCTATCCTCTGAGGGACACCTTCAGACCTGTAACTCTTTAGCTACTTGCATGTTACTGTATTTAATATGATAGGGAAGAGAAAGGGGGCAACATTTGTTTCTCTTAGCATTGAGAAAAGTAGTCATTGGTTAATAAAGTTTGGGGTTTTTTTTTTTTTTTTGGATTTTAAGAATGGTAGGTTAAAATTACATGGTGCTTAAATCAGTTTTCAATAGATGAGCCTTGAACTTGACCATGGAAGATCTTTGTTTACTGGCTTACTCTTCATGGCTTGCTCAGCCTGCTTTCTTACAGAACCCAAGACCACCAGCCTAAGGATAGCACCGCCCACAATGGGCTGGGCCCTCCTACATCAATCACTAATTAGGAAAGTGCCCTACAGGCTTGTCTATGGAAGCATTTCTCCAACTGAGGTTGCCCTTCTCAGATGACTAGCTTGCATCAAGCTGACATAAAATTAGCCAGAACAGAAATTCTTTGTAATTTTAAAGTCACATTTTATTTTATTATTTATTTATTTTCTGGTGTTTGTTGGGGGGCAGAGGTTATGCCACTTAGACTTGCATTGTGGGAATGAGTCTCTTCTTTTCTCACCATGTGGGTTCTAGGGACCAAACTCAGGTCATCATGTGCCTTTATCTGCTGTGTTGTCTTGCTAGCCCCTGTGTTAGAGACTTTTAAAAACTATTTTTAAACATTCTGTCTTAGGATTACTACTTCTATGATGAAACATGATGATCAAAGCATCCTAGAACCACCTGTCCAGGGGTAGCACTACCCACCGTGGGCTGGGCCCTCCCCCTCACACATCAGTAATTAAGAAAATATCCTACAGGGGCTGCAGAGATGGCTCTTCCTGAGGACCTGAATTCAGTTACCAGCACCCACATCAGGTGGCTTACAACCGCCTGCTATTACAACTCCTTACAACTCCTCACATCTCTGACCTCTGTAGGCACTTAAATTCATGTGCACATACCTCACCCACACATGCACATAATAAGTCTAGGGAGGGAGGGAGAGAGAGAGGGAGGGAGGAAGGAAGGAAGGAAGGAAAGAAAGAAAGAATAAGAAAGAAAACGTCCTACAGCTGGCTCTTCTGGAGGCATTTTCTCACTTGAGCTTTCCTCCTATCAGATCTAGCTTCTTGGCGTAAACCTAGCCAGGACGCAAGAACACTTTCTACCATGTGTCTAATTCTCCATACTGTTTTGCTAGTATATTTTATATTTAGTGTTGCCCTTAAGTTTAACTGTTATAATTTATTGAAAAAAATTTTCCCTAGGGTCTTATTTTTGTGGTAGATAGCAATGATCGAGAAAGAATTCAGGAGGGAGCAGCTGTGCTGCAGAAAATGGTAAGTATGTATTTTAAGTTGATCATTTTCAAGATGTGTTTTTGTGGTATTGTCTGTGGTCACACATTTTAGAGGTAGAAGTAAACTTGGGAAACTATATTATTTCCAAGTTCTTAAGAATGCACAGAAAAGCCCTCTATAGTCTATTGATTTATTTATGTAGTTCAGCAGTTCTAAACCTTTGGGTCGAGACCCCATCTTGGGGGTCAAATGCTCCTTTCACAAGGGTCACCTAAGACCATCGTAAACACAGATATTTACATTACAACTCATAATGGTAGCAAAATTACAGTTACAGAGGTAGCAACGAAAATAATTTTATGGTTGTGGATCACTGCAACAAGAGGAACTGTATTAAAGGGTCACAGCATGAAGATTGAGGACCACCTTCTTAAAGGCCAATCATTATTTGCTCAAACTGAAGGATGAGATTTATAAGAGTGCTTGAAATTTACATAGAGAACTTTAATTGGTGTCTAGTAGCTTGTTTAATGTTGAATAAAATGCATATTTAAGATTTGTGAGTAGTCTGATTTTAGAAGGTAGCTGGTAATGGCTTAACCTTTATCTCCAGCTTCTGGAAGATGAGCTGCAGGATGCAGTGCTGTTGCTGTTCGCAAACAAACAGGATTTGCCAAATGCTATGGCCATCAGTGAGATGACAGATAAGTTAGGTCTTCAGTCTCTCCGTAACAGAACAGTAAGTATTGGAAGGTGACACTAACCTCCTCACTGGTGAAAGTAGGGTAATTAGGCTAATACTCAGCTGCTTATTAGTATTGTTATTAATATTATTATTTGGAGATAGGATCTAACTGTAACCCTGGCTGGCCTGGAACTTACTCTGTAGACCAGGCTGGCCTCAAACTCACAGAGATCTGCCTGCCTCTGCCTATGCCACCATGCCTGCCCAGTTTAAATGTGTAATAATTATTTCCTTTGGACAGATAGGACATTTCTAGAAATATGGTAATATGGTTTATAGAAAATGCATAACATACTAAAAACCAGCCCTTTCGGGCTTTATTTCAATACTATAAATATTGCATTAAATTTTGTTTTTAAAAATATTGGTAGTTTCTCACTTTTCTATTTATTTAATTTTATTAACTTTATCTTCTGTATTGATACATTAACAGTACTAAGAGTTGAATATGTAGAGATTATAGACATTCTTAATTTTGTATCATTCAAATAGTTCTCCAAGGTTTTTGTTTTGTTTTTTTTTAAATACAAATGTTTTATTTTTACTATTTCTTGTGGTGTTGGGGTTTGAACCCAGAGCGTTTCTTTCACATGTTAGGGCAATCACCCTACCACTTAGCATCTGTAGTTGAGCAAAGATTTTATACTTTGCTTGTTGTTTTTTTTCCTATGCTGGCCTTGAATTTAGGGACATTCTCCGGCTTTTCTTTCCTAATCACCAGGATTGCAGGCATGTGCAGTCATACCAAGCCCTACATTTGGTGCTGTTTATAAAAGGCACACAATTTAGCAACTGTATCTTAAATCCTATCATTTAGTGCTCTTTGTTTATTAACTTCAGAACCTTAGGGAAGAACCTCAGCTGACACATTTGTTTGAATATAGATTTATAAGAAATACTGCGCTTACTATTAATAATAACCTATCAGTGATTGATATATTGGCAAAGTCCAACATAAACATAGAAATTGTATCAGACATGAGACCATGTCTTCAAAAAAACCAAAGATACAGTAAAAAACAATAGGGTCCCGCCGGGCGGTGGTGGTGGTGGTGGTGGTGGTGGTGGTGGTGGTGGTGGTGGTGGTGGTGGTGGTGGTGGTGGTGGTGGTGGTGCAGCACGCCTTTAATCCCAGCACTCGGGAGGCAGAGGCAGGCGGATCTCTGAGTGAGTTCGAGGCCAGCCTGGTCTACCAAGTGAGTCCCAGGAAAGGCGCAAAGCTACACAGAGAAACCCTGTCTCGAAAAACCAAAAAACAAACAAACAAACAAACAAACAAACAAACCAATAGGGTCCCATACTCTACAGCAGCTTTGCATTAACTTGTCAACAAGGCAGATACTGTTTGTTTATTGTGTAGACTGTTGTGATGTCCCATTAGAATTAAAAAAGATACATTGTAAGAGATAGATGTTTTTCATACTGTGGAGATAGGAATTTGTGCCCTTCCCCTCCCTTCTGAGTTACTAGGGTATTTGATACTCAGATAATTGGCAACATGGTAAACCTACAATGGTTTTGCAACATTAAGATAGTCTTTTCTTCTAAGGTGGAATAAGACTAGTCAGTTAAGCCAGGCGGTGGTGGCGCACGCCTTTAATCCCAGCACTCGGGAGGCAGAGGCCGGCGGATCTCTGTGAGTTCGAGGCCAGCCTGGGCTACCAAGTGAGTTCCAGGAAAGGTGCAAAGCTACACAGAGAAACCCTGTCTCAAAAAAAAAAAACAAACAAAAAACTAGTCAGTTAAAAATGAGTAAGTTATCCATTAAATGTGAATTGTTTCTAGGTGTTTCAAGTTTTGTGGGGGGGGGGGTTGTTTCTTTGAAACATGGTCTCATTTTATTATTTAGATTTCATTGTGTTTCATATAAGCAATTAAGAAAAAAAACAAAAAAACAAAAACAAGCAATTAAGAATCTTTCCTGTGAAAGTGAAACTTTTTGGAATATGTGAGACCAAAGATGTTAAAATTATTTTTTAAAACAGTAAAATTACATGAAAAGTTAAAGTTCTTAGACTATCAACAAAAATCTTTCAGATACTTACCCCTTTTAGACTGGAAATGTGGCTTAATGGCAGAGGACTCGCCTAGCACATAGGAGTGTGCTAGGGTGTGATCTCTAGCACTAGAAAAAGCAAAGTCTAAAAAATCTGCACGTATGTTCTCCTTAGTTTTGGGGTTATAATGAGAGGGTCTTAAGGACCAGGGAGGTAATTTGTTAGAGATTTTCCCATTACTCTTCAGATTTTGTGGCGGAAAGCTAGCCTAATAAATCCATTGAATAATAATAGATGTACTTTTAAATGGATCGAGTGAGCAAATTCCTAAAGGATTCTTTTGAGTGACCTTTGTAGTTACTGAGAGCATTAAATTCATGTTTGTGGGATACAAGTAGATCACCTATTTCCTTAGTGTTTATTACTGTGATTTTATAGTTTCCATTTTTGTATACTTGTAATTACTTACTCAGTAGTGCCCTTAGGCATTTATGGGGAGGGGCTTAATATTTTCTGTTTAAAAATGGCAGTATGTATCATCTTGTTAATCAAGTATTTTCTTGTCCTTTCTTCACAGTGGTATGTTCAAGCCACTTGTGCTACACAAGGAACTGGTCTGTATGAGGGACTCGATTGGCTGTCAAATGAACTTTCAAAACGTTAAATGAACCTGGATATCTAACCAAGGACATGTTTGATAGAATTGGTCTAGACTTGTTACAACAAAATTAGTTTGCATCTTGGTTATTAAAGGATATCTGAGACAGGTTTGGGCAGAATATTACAGCATTTAAAACTTATTTTGTTGCCAATTATTGTTTACCAAGCACAATGTTGCTATTTAGCAATATGCTTGCGTGTAAGAGAAATTTTCCTTGGGAAAAAAAAAAAGTATCCACTATTATACTTTCCTTAAGCCTAAATGCCTGGACATATTTGTGACACCTTTAAACAAATCTGTTTTGAGTGTTTTTTGAGCCCACACCAATAATGTTATAAAGTTATTCCCCTGATACTTTACTGACACCTTTATCATTCCTAGGACAGTCTGCTGATTTAAAAATGTAGCATTCCATTTGTATTTATTTCTACCCCTTGCCAAAAAAGATTTTTCTAATACTGCTTGTACCAGCCAAGGATGTGCTCCAAAACACTATTCAGTTTTCTTACTGAGGATTCCCCACCAGCCACCACCCTCACATTATTGACTCCTGGCTTCCATCAGCCAAACTTACCTCGTCAATCTGGTTTGGATTTGATAGCTAATTCTGTGCTGGTTGCAAAGAGTTCATATTGAGATAACTTTTAATACTCAGCAGATTGTTTTCCTTTATATTGTTACCTTTTTTATGTTGCATGTTGCTTTTGGAATCAGCCTGACTCTTTGCCCAGTATATGATAGTTCTGCTGATACTTTACTGTTTATTGATGAACATATCTTAAGAATTTTTTGAAAACTCATCAAATTCAGTGAATACGTTTTCTTCATAACCCATTTGAAATTATTCCTAATAAAATGATAAAAAAATATGATTTGTGTTCTTTGAGTCTTTGCAATATTTGAAACAGATTTCCTTACATAGCAAAGTTGATTTACATATTTTACATGGTATGGCTAGTAATATAAATCCCAGTGAGTTTACTAATGGTTGGCAGTAAACTTAACCATGGTTTATCAAGTGCATCAAAGTGGGGTGCAGCATGAAGAATTTTACTTTTTCTAGTAGAATACCATTTAAAGCTATAAAGGTCAAACAACAGATCAAGAGAGTAAAAAGTTGTCATAACATGAACTCCAGAAGCAAGGAAAAAAGGATTGGTGATCAAGGTCAGCTGGTAGAGTGCTTGCCTTGTATGCAGAGCCCCAAGTTTGATCCTCAGTACCATGTCCCATGGAGGTGGCAGGCATATCAGAAATTGTCATTGTCTACTTAGTGAGTTTGAGGCCAGACTGGGAAACATGAGACCTTTCTCCAAAAAGTAACAAGTAGGTATATATACGTTTGGCAGCTAACATTAGGTTGCTAAGTGTGCTAGAGAATAGGCTACAAGCACTTTGTAACTTAACATTTCACAATGTCAATACAAAGCTGTATGTGACTGACTTGTTAAGGCAACAACAATGGTACATGCCATAACTATACTAGTTAGAATAGATTTTTGTCTCATGTATTATAAACTTTTTTAATGATTTTTTTTATGATTTCTTAATAGCTCTTAGAGGTTTATATAAACTCATGGATCATAATTTTTGCTGTTTTGAGACAGGTTTGTCTGTAACAATCCTGCCTGTTCCGGAACTTGTTTTGTAGTCCAGCCTGGTCTTAAACTCTCAGAGATCCACCTGCCTCTGCCTCCCCAGTGCTGAGATTAAAGGTATGTGCCACTATGCCTGGCTTCAAAAATCTATTTCTACATGCTTGTAAAATGTGTTGATAAAATAAAAACTGGTTATAAACTATGTTTAGGTGCCTAAATTGGATTCAGTGGACAGCAGTACAAGATTCAGATCAAGAAACAAGTGAGGCCGCAGTGCAGGTGGTGCCTTCTGGGTCACTGTTAGAGTAGAGGGGAACCAGCTCCTGCCTTGTCCGCAGTTTCTACTTCGCCAATGAAGTTTTCATGGGCACTTAAGGACTAACTCTTAGGAACTGTTCTGGCTTTAGTTACACTGGGTTTTTTGTTCGTTTTTGTTTTGTCCAGACATGAAACTATTCAAGTAGGGATGTATGGTAGTTTTCTCTTTACACTTCTGCTTTCCACAATTTCAGTTCTTGTGTTCAACCTTGTTCAAAAAACAAAAAACAAGCCGGGAGGTGGTGGCACATGCCTTTAATCCCAGCATTCGTGAGGCAGAGGCAGGAGGATCTCTGTGAGTTCGAGGCCAGCCTGGTCTACAGAGTGAGTTCCAGGATAGGCTCCAAAGCTACAGAGAAATCCTGTCTCGAAAAGCAAAAAAAAAAAACCCAAAAAACTGGGAAATTTTCAAAAGAATGAAGAGTTTAAGTAGTTTTATTATAGTTCTAGTTATTGTTAGTGCACATGCTTAGTTTATCACTTTAACTTGATCATAAGTATGTGCACCCACCCCACACACAAAAAAATGATACAGCCTGTGATACTGTTTTAGGAGTCCATTAGGAATCTTATAAATAGGGAAGACATGTTCCCTAGAGGAATGTAAATTAAAAAGCAAAACCAGTACCACTTCATACTAGAATACATGTTATTATTAAAGAATAAAACTAGTGTTGAGGATGTGCAGAAATTAGAGTCCTCATGTATTTCTGGAGGGATTGTGTACCTGCTTTCAGTGATACTCTAGCAATTTCCCAAAAGCTAAATATTTTCCATATGACCCAACAATTTTCCTGTGAAAGAGGAATACTCAAGAGAAATGAAAACACCCACACAAAACTTGTACACAAATGTTTATAGCAACATTATTTGTGGAAGCAGTACAAATACCCACCAGTCTGTAAGTAGATAAATGCAGTATAACCTAACAAAGTCTGTAAGTAGATAAATGTAGTATAACCTAACAATGGAAAAATACATTTTAAAAAAAAGCTCAGTATTGATGCTACAATATGGAAGTACCTAAACAGCCTAAGTTTAAGAAGCCAATCACAAAAGAATATATTTCTTTGCATTTATGAAAGTCCAAAGCAGACATTTCATGGAAATAACAGGTAAAGGGTTGTCAGGGCAAACAGGGTGATGACCTTAAGTACAGGGTTTCTGTTACTCTGTGACTAACTATACTAATAGCTCTTAACAATAAAAACCAGTTTAAGCCTGGTGGTGGTGGTGGTTCAAGCCTTTAATCCCAGCACTCCAGAGGCTAAGGCAGGCAGTTTGAAGCCAGCCTAGTCTACAGAATGAGTTCCAGGACAGCCAGGGCTACACAGAAAAACCCTGTCTTGAAAAAAAAAACAAAACATTACGGAACTTGGGTTTTGACAAATCAACAAGAGGTTCCTATCAGAATGTATCCGACTGGCAGATGAAAGTGGTATTAAGCCAGCTGAACTGACAGCTTTAATGTTTTTTGTTGATGGCATTTAAAAAAATTTTTTTTCTTAATTTATGGGTATGGGTGTTTTGCCTGCCATGTGTCTTTGCACCCAGGTGCATGCCTGATGGCCAGAGATGCCAGCAGAAGATACTGGATTCCTGGAACTGGAGTTACAGGAGGTTGTGAGCCACCATGTGGATGCTGGGAAATGAACCTCAGGTTCTCTGGAAGAGTGAGCACTCTTAACCACTGAGTGGTCTCTTCAGGCTTAGGTTTAATGTTTCAGATGTCACTCATTAATAGTTATATAGAGGCTGGTACCAGCCAACTCAACAGATTACGCTTAATGTTTGAAATTATAATTTTTATATAAATTTTAGCATCTATACTAAAGGTGGCCAAGTAATAGTTCCCCACCCCTTATTTAACAAGGTAAATGTCAGCTTAATGTATTGGCTTACATTTTAAAAGTTACCTTGAATTTAGGGATTTAAAAAATCTAATAGCTTGAACTTTTTATGATTACACATTATAATTTATTATTATACTCAATTATATTTATCTCATTTCTCAGTAATTAGTATTTATACATTCATGCTATCTACTAATCTGGATTTAAAATGGTCCTATTTAAAAGTAAGTTCTCTCAAATTGCTGAAGTGTAAAAAAAAATGGCTTTTGTTATGAACATTTTGGGTTTTTACCATAATTTTTTGTTTACATTCAAGGTTGTGGTATTTTGAACTCTGATATTTAGTTTTCTTCAAAGGAAGCAGTAAGACCTTTTCCACTTGACACAAACCCATAAAAAGAAGTAGCAGTTGCTGAAGGTAGGCTCTAGAAAAAGAGGTTTGGTAAACTATTTAGAATAAAGCATGCTTATGACTTCATCAACTTCAATTCAAAAGTTAGAAATGCGTCATTAGAGTATCACTTCATATGAACTAGGATGACCATTTAAAAAATGGGAGTAAAAGCCCAGTGACGTGGCACACACCTTTTATCCCAGCACTCAGGAGGCAGAGGCAGGTGGGTCTCTAAAATTCGAGGCCAGCCTGATCTACAAAGGGAGTTCCAGGACAGCCAGGGCTCCACAGAGGAAGTCTCTCTTGGTGGGTTGGGGAAAAAGTGGTGGTAGAGATAAGTTTGAGAGGATGGAGGGAAAACTGAATGTCTGTACAACAGTGAGAGAATATATACGATAGTGTAGCCATGGTGAGAAGGCCTAGCAGTGTTCCAGAAAGCTAAAGAGAATTATGATCCAGCAACTGACTCTGAAGTATATACTCAAAAGAACTGAAAACAGATGCTCTGGGTTGTAGCTCAGTGGTAGAATATTTGCCTAACATACACCAATCTAGTATTTGATTCCCTAGCACTGCCCCCCCCCCCCAAAAAAAGTGTTCAATGGAAGACTTGAGCACAAATATCCATAGTACTACTCACGACAGCAAAAAAAACAAACAAAAAAAACCCATCAATCCACATGGTCAGATAAGCAAGATGTATTATCCACGCAGTAGAAAATACTCAGCTATTAAAAAAAAAAGATGAAGTATTGGTACATACTATAACACAGATGAACCTGAAAAACATACCAAGCCTGAATATTGTAGCCAGAAATGGTCTTACAAATGAATTACAAACTGTTAGTGTTTGTTATGGGGACAACTGTATAAGAGTTGATTTTCACAGAAGAACCCGCTCTAAAATATTCACTTTTCCTTCAGCAAGAACTTGTGACATAAAATGTGGTTTACCCCAAAGTTGCTAGACTTCTCATATTTATTAAAATTAAATGAATTAAAAATTCCAAATGCAATAGAAAAACTCAACCACAAAGATAGCTTAAACACTTCTGATTAACACCGTGTACTAACTTGCAAGTACAAACAGATTTTGGTATGGGATGTATAGAATTTTGTAGAGTTCCCTGTCTTGCACTCCAGTCATCCTAACACCCGTATGCTCTTTTAGTCAAGTCTTTATACTTCATTATCTGAATATCCTGAAATATCGGTATATAATCTGATTATATCATTCAATCCACAAATATAAAATTTAAGGACTTCGGATGTTTGGTAAATCCTAGTTTCTCTGACCACAATTCAAGCCCACCATGGGATTAAATACAGGATCTCAATGCATTTTTTTTTTTTTTGTGGGTATAAATAATCTCACATTAAACAGTTTTCTTTCAAAATGTTGACTTCTTGCTGAGTAATTACTGTCAACTCCTTAAGAGTTAGTATTAAAGTTTGTGAACATGCATATTTGAAAGCAAAACAAGCCCAAATTTTAAAAAGTGTTGCTACTGTAGTTTGGCAGTACTACACATGTTTAGCACGCTCAGGATTCTGGGTTCAATCCCCAGCAACACAGAAATAATCTTGAAAAAATATTTTGCAAAAGAACTAGTTCTGACTATATAAACTGCCATTGAAATGCTCTCAAAAAAATATATGGATGGGAATGTAACTCAGTGGCCCTGAATTTGATCCTCAGGAAAAGAAACAAACAAAATAACCCACTACCATATTTAGGAAGGCACAATTTGGTAGCATCAATTTTTCATGAGCTATTTTTTTTTAAACAAGATTCCAAAAAACTGCCACCTTAATGATTATTTCCCTTTAAATAATTTGAATAAGGTTCAATCTGCAGTACAAGTGAAATGGTTATATATTCTCAGACTTAATAACTTAAGGGTATCTGATAGAATATGAAAACACAAACTACATTAGAAGAATATGGGGGAAAAGACATTTTCAAAAGAGGAAAGTTTTTATGGTATTGGGTAAAGGCTTTAAGACTGGGAAATTAAACCTCTTTTTGAGGTGACAAGCCTTTACTATCTAAGCCAGAAATTAACTGCAGAAATATGAGCTATGCTATAGTGTGAATTCTGAACATCAAAAAGCAATAGCCAAAGCATTACCAGTAAGGTATGGTAACAACAAATTTAGTAAAACTTAGTTATCTAAACTAGATACTAATTAATACAACTTGTAATTTCTCCTCTTAAAATGTTTGGCTTCATTTTTAAATTTTCTTTTATATATAAATTATGTGGCACTCTTCTGTTACTCAAACTATAATCCTTAAGTCTATAAAAAGTTTGTTTCAGCCAGGTGGTGGTGGCGCATGCCTTTAATCCCAGCACTCGGGAGGCAGAACCAGGCGGATCTCTGTGAGTTCAAGGCCAGCCTGGTCTCCAAAGCAAGTTCCAGGAAAGGCGCAAAGCTACACAGAGAAACCCTGTCTCCAAAAACCAAAAAAAGAAAAAGAAAAAGTTTTTTCAGATATTGGCAAAAGCCCACTGTGTCCCTTTTTTTCCATTTATGTAGCCCAAACTGGCCTTGAACTGTGTAACCCAGACTACTATTGAACTCAAAGCAGCCCTACCTCAGACTCCTGAGTGCTAGGATTACAGCTATAAAGCACCATGCCTGGCTCCCTTTTCCTACTTACAAAAACTACAATTTTGAAAACACTTCCAGCATAGCAATGCTCAATGGTTCATGTACAGTTTGAAGCCCCTATCAGAAGTTTCTCATAAAGTAACTGTGCTGTAACTTTCCATCATACGGTCAAGTACCCTGTGTGTTTACATATATTTGTCACGATCAAGAGTGAGGACAAGAGGATCAAGTGCTGTTGCTGCTCCCTTTGAAGAGTCCACCGTGCCTGCACCTTACTATTAAAATGGGCTGAAGGTGAATGAGAACACAGATTATGCACATTTGTGCCATCCTTTGTACACTAAACACATAATGCTAGAAATGACAAAGAAAATACCTTGTTAACTGAAAAATGAAGAAGCTATAAAAATTGGTAATGGAATATTTTAATCTTTTGTTAAAGCTCTAAAATTATAATAAATTCTAACCAAACTGAGGTAGTGATAGACTAATGTATTCCATGTCTCTCTGAAGTCTTCCATCTTTTACCTGCATGTCCCCTCCTCCCCCAATTATATGAACATAATTCAATGTAAAATGTGTTATGAAAGAAAAATTATGAGATTATTCAAAGAGTACTTAAAAATCTTAATTACCAGATTAAAAAAACTTATAAAATGTACACAATAATTCAATTTTTTTCTTGGCTAATCATAAATATGTTTTCCTCCACATGTAGGAAATTATAAAGAGGAAAAGGGTATTATATGATGCAAACATGAATTGGTTCTGTAACAAAGCCATCTGGGACATAACAGGGAATGATCATAATAAAGTTTAGTGACTAGATTTCCTCTTTGAAGATTTTTTTTATATAAGCTCTGATTCATATTAAATTTTCTGAAAAGTAATAGCTTCCTTTTCAGACGCAATGAAGCAAAAATCTATTTCCATTTTAAATCACATACCAGTGCTATGTGATCAGAAGGATGAGAAACACTAGGTAAGGCCTGGTGGGTGGTAACTTCTTCATGACTAGGTAATGGTATCACCTGTTCAACCTCTAAAGCATTTAAGTCAATGAAAATGTAATCTAGACATCCGTGAAAGCCACCAACATAATTTGTGTAAGCAGGTTCACCACAAGCACTTTTCAGTTTGAAAAGGTGTGTGAGAGACATGTTGCATCTTTCCTCTTCCCCATTGGAAGCCCAGTCTTCATGATCCTCTGTAATGCTGCCATTGATGACAAAATGATACATTCCTGTTGATGGTGTACTATTAAAGTCTCCACAAAATATAACTGGTATGCCAGGATACAGGTCACATGAAACATGTCTAATGTGAACCAAAGCTACTGCCATTTGAATGAGACGAATGTATCCACCTACAAACAAATGAAATTAGTGTAAGTACTTTTTAAAGCCCTCCCCAAAGAGAGGGGACCCCTCACAAATTACGGTCCCTGAGTAACATTCGACATGTATATGTATGTGCACACACACACATTTTTACATTTAGTGTGTGTGACAGGTGGGATGTGTCTTGGTGTCTGTGTGGAGTTCAGAGGACAATTCACATTGAGTTGGTTCTCTTTCCACCATGCGGGTCCCTGGGATTGAACTTAGGTCATCAGGTTTGATGGAGGCACCTTTACTAGCTGAGCCATCTGGGCCCAAGACATTTTTGTAAAAGCAGCTTTAGCAACTTTAAATAATCACCTATAGCATTGGAGTCAAATTCTAGATAAATGTTTGTATAGGGATGGGGTGGGGGTACACATCTGGAATCTAAGCTCTGAGGAGGCTGAGGCAGGATTTCAAATTCTAGGCCAACATATTTCAAAGCTCTATCAAAAAAAAAAAATCAACTAAAATCAAGATATACGTGTGTGTGTGTGTGTGTGTGTGTGTGTGTGTGTGTGTAAGTAAAACAGCTTTAATAACATTAAGTCACTTGTAAAACTAAATAAAACCTACCTTTTGGGTGCCAGTAGAGATGGGTATTAGCAACACATATCTTTTTAGAAGAGTCCTTTGTAGACTGAAGAACTGAAATCTACAATAGGAAACGCCAAGAGTTCAGTTGGTGTCTGCCAATCTACCCAGAACTTTCTGTTGCTTGAGATGGTTTCTCACTATACAGTCCTGGCTGTTCTGGACACAACTATATAAACTAGACTGGCCTCAAAATCAGATATCCACCTGTCTCTTCCTCCAAAGTGCTGGGATTAAAGGGCCAGTGCCACAACATCCCACCCTCCAGAATGTTTTGTTCTGAAGACTGTAGGCTGAGCCAGGTGGTGGCAGTGCACGCCTTTAATCCCAGCACTCGGGAGGCAGAGCCAGGCAGATCTCTGTGAGTTCAAGGCCAGCCTGGTCTACAGCCTGAGATCCAGGACAGGAATCAAAACTACACAGAGAAACCGTCTTGAAAAACCAAAGACTGTAGGCTGAACTAGTTTATCCCATAGTCCCTTGAAAACTAAGATAACATCTTTTAAATTTGATATTGCCAGGTTTTTTTTTTTCTTCCCCTCGAGACAGGGTTTCTCTGTGTAGCTTTGCGCCTGTCCTGGATCTTGCTCTGTTGACCAGGTTGGCCTCGAACTCACAGAAATCCGCCTGCCTCTGCCTCCCAAGTGCTGGGATTAAAGGCGTGCGCTACCACCGCCAGACAGTTTTAAGCTAAGAAGCAGTTCACACCCTGAACAATAATGCTACCCTAGTCAACTGGTTAAGACTCCTGGTTCATAAGTCTATGAACCAGAGTAAGAGCATTTGAAGATTTTCTCATTTATGAAATAATATTTGTAAAATAGACTAAAAAACCAATCTTTTTTTTTTTTTTTTTTTACATACTAGGTAACAATAGTTATGAAACAGGCCCTAAACCAAGAGGCACTTACATTTGTAACTACTTTAAGGTGCTCTAAAACAGTGCTTGGCAAGTTACTATCATTACTGAATTTCATGTGTAGCTACCTGGATTGTAAGCACTAAGAATATCAACATTCATCTTGTCTAGGGCAACCGGCGGCGTGGTTAGGCACACCAGGGGTGCTTAATATGTGCTGCATTAATGCACCGGCCACACTGGCCACACTAGGGCAAACATACTTTAAAGAAATGCAATCTAGACAGTTTCAGTAAGTACTAACACCATCCCTCCACTCCGAAGGCCCCTAAACATGGGTGAATATGAAGAAAACAGGCAGAGCTACTTGACCTGAAGGACAGACGATCTCTGGAGGACCTTCTCCTGCGCTAGAGGGTTCAAAGCCAGTTTCTCTAGTAGTTCTTTGTGCAGGGGGTCCGACTCCAAGGCTTCTTGAAAAGAAATGTCGTGTTGGCTAAGGAGGGTAAACTTTGACTTGCGGTAGAAAGTGGCCAGGCCTTCGTGCTGTTTGATTCGAAACACGCCCTCCAGCCCGAAGGCCTCCAGGGCCGGTACCAAGCTGTCGGAGAACACTGCGCGGTCCACCTCCTGCAAACAGATGAGGTCCGCGTTGTAGCCCGTGAGCTCCTTCTGGATAAGGTTCTGGCGGTAGTCAAGCTCCAGGGCGTAGGGGGCACAGTACGGGTACAGGACTGTCCGAGAGAACTCAGTCTGGGCGTACGTGTCTGCCAGGATGTTGTAGGAGACAGTACGGATGAAGGAGTCCTCCGTCACCTTCTTGGTGTACAGATGTCGATGGTCAAAAGTGCAGGTGCCAGGCCCAGCCTCCACCGGACACACGCTTTCCAGCTCGCGGCTTGGCCCGAAGCGCTGCCCATTGCCCGGGGTGCAGCGAAGCTTGAGCCGGAGCCCGATGTCAGCATTGCACGGGGTGTAGACGCGCTCGTCGACACCCGTCTCGGTCCAGGCCGAAGACGGCAAAGCGTGAGACGAGGACGCGAGGCCGCTGTCCCCGGGCTCTGCCGCACCGGGTCTGACTTCTTTGTACCAGCGGAACACGGAGCTGGCGGAATCCCCAAATTCCAGGCTGAGTTTAGGGCACACCGGGAAGCCGGCCATGATGTAGCGCGGCAGCTGCAGCTCGGTGAAGGCAGGCGGGTTGCGCTCTACCTTGTACTTGACGTCGCCGATCTGCAGCACCGCGCCGTCCTGCCAGGCATCCACGTTGAGCACATCCTCCGCCACGGCCTCCTCTCGGTAGTAGAGCTTCACCACCGGCTCGCAGGCCGCGGCCGGCTCGGGCCCCGTCGCCGCGCAGGCCGCGCCGCCGCTCGAGTGGGCTCGGTTCTTCCTGTTCTTCTTGGCGGCGGCGACCTTAGCGTGGCCCTTCAGGGCGTTGGTGGCGATCCGGCTGAGGGCCCGGCCCAGAGGCTCGCTCTGGTCGCGCTGCATGTTCTTGTGGCTGCCGTCGGCCAGCGCGAAAGACAGGCTGAGCTTGGGCTCCGAGGGCACACAGCGCACCACAGCGCGCTCCATGGCGCGCACCGTCTCGTCGGTCGCTGCCTCGGCCCGGCTGCACGGCTCCGCCACCGACCGGACCCGACGAAGCGCGACGCGGCCTGGGAGCCTCCACATGAACCTAGCGGCCGACGGGATCCGAGATCCGGAGTCGCGCGGCGTGAAGCCCACACGGAGGAGTGGCGGCCACAGGCTCGAGACCCATTCAGGACAGGGACTTCCGGTCGGCGGCGAGCAGAAGGCGTGGCGGGAGAAGAAAGCGCGCCGCGTCCCCGAACCGCACTTTCGACAGACCCGCTTACCGGCTCGTCCTTGTCATAGCCGCTCGTGCCGAGATCCAAGCGCCTCGGTGTTGGTATTCCACATGGGTTAAAGGCAAAGAAGGAAGGAAGTGTAAAGGTGTCGGGGGGGAAATACTAGACCCCGGCGTTCTGTTGAAAGTGCAGTCTGAGGGTCGGCATGGCAGGCTTACGGAACCGGAAGTGACTGAGCGGTGTCACGTGCCCTTCTCCCAGCAACGCTAGGCTTTCTGTCCCTTCTCTTTGCATTGCACCGGCCTGGGTGTGTGAGGGCGTGGGAACCTCGCCGCTCTCCGCAGTTGGGCTGCCCTGCTCCCTGTTTTTCGAGGTGTGGCGGCTTGAGTGAAGCTAGGCCTGGCAGGCGCCGAGCCTCTGGTAGCCGAGGAGCCACGAGCCGCCCGCCCGGTTTCTTAACCATCTAGTGAGCGCTGAGGGCCCATGATTTACTTAAGCCCCACGTTGTTGTTTTCGAGGTAGGTGTCGTGTCTGTCGCTTAGAGATGTGGAACCCAGAAAGACTGGGTCAGAGCCACAGAGCATAGTAAATGGACAGGGTCCCGACGGGTTGCCGAAAGCTGTGGAAGCTGTAAAGAGCTTGGAAGGCCTTGGCTTTGGAGAGGGGCAAGTTTTAGCAAATAAAAATGCACGACTCGCGTAAAACATTAAAGAACTTTAAAAAAAAAAAAAAAAAGGAACGTGCTTCATTCCTCCCCGTATTACTTTATCTGAAGTTTAAATTTAGCTCAGAGTTTTGTTTTTATTTCTTTCAAAACTCTTTTAACGTGTCATTTGTAGACCAAAACGAAATCCTGTCTGACCAGAACAGTGAGCCCAGGGGACAGTAGCAAGTAAGAAAGTCTCATCGACTGTACTGAACTCAGATTGTCAGGCCTGACAGCAAGCACCTTTAGCCACTGGGCCATTTTTGCCAGCCCAAGCCTTCTATTTTCATGATCTTTTATTTTTCAAGAAGTATTCTGAAGTGTCATATCTTGTGGCAAGCTTGTTTTTAACTCACAAGCTTGAAAGTAGTAAGTAAATGCCGTGTTTGAAGATTTATTTTTATGAGATTAATTTATAGCCCTATTTATAAATTCCATAATTGAAACTTGACATTGAGAGATTAAGCAATAATATGATTTTGATAATACACATGGGGGGATGAGGTGAATAGGAATAATTTTATTCGTCTATTTTCAATCCATGTCAAGAAACAAGCTAAGGCCAGGAGGTGGTGGCGCACGCCTTTAATCCCAGCACTCGGGAGGCAGAGCCAGGCGGATCACTGTGAGTTCGAGGCCAGCCTGGGCTACAGAGCGAGTTCCAGGACAGGCACCAAAACTACACAGAGAAACCCTATCTCACCCCCCCCCACACCCCCCAAAAAGAAACAAGCTGAGGGCGTAGCTCAGTGGTAGAGTAGTACTTGGCTAGCAAGTATGAGAGCTTTATAAAGTCCATACAGAGAAGGCTACACTGCTGGTGAAATAGCATACTTAGTAAAGTGTCATACAAGAGTAAGGATTTAAGTTCCATCCCCAGGACCCTATAAAATGCTAGTCAGGGTGGTGTATGCTTGTAATCCCAGCTCTGGGAATGCAAACTGGAGACTTGGGGCTACTGGCCAGCCAGCCTAGCCTAATTACAAGTTCCAGGCCAGTGAGAGAGAGACCTTGTCTCAAAAAACAAGGTTGTTATGCCTTGAGTAAAGATGCTGGAAGTTGACATCTGGCCTCTACACACATGTGCATACATGTGCCCACATTGACATACTTTTTTTTTTTTTAAGTTTTAAAAGAAAAGTCTACAAAACTAAGCTAGGCATGGTAGCACATACCTGTAATCCCACCATTCCAGAGGATCATGCGTGCTGGACCAGCCTGGGCTATATATTGCTATCTCAAAATAATAAAACAGCACAAAAGAAACATGCTTTTACCAGTCAGAATTATATCTACCTATGCATCATTAATAAATCTCCCAATATTCATATGTGAAGACAGTTTCTTTTTCTTTTGTTTTTTGTTTTGGTTTGGTTTTCGAGACAGGATTTCTTGTAGCCCTGGCTGGCCTGGAGCTCACTGTAGACCAGTCTGGCCTCAAAATCACAGAGCTCCACCTGCCTCTTGCCTCCCAAGTGCTGGGATTAAAGGCCTGTGCCACCATCTCATGACAACTAGTTACTTCCATTCTAGTAGATGATATTGGCAGTTAAACACATGGATTGCTTATATACTATCTGTATGGTCAAAGTGATACTGTAGTTTTGGGTGATAGCATTCAGAAATTTTGAGTAGTACTTGATATCAATTTGGGTTATTTCCCCCACATAATTCAAAAGTCAGGCTTGTGATAGATTGCCTAACAGGCACAAGGCACTAGGTTCAATCTCCTGTACTGAAAAAGGGGTGGGGCATTACATTCAAAATCATTTCTATTTGCCCTTTTATAAAAATTAAAAGAATCAACTTATCTATTTTGTCTTTCCTTCCCAAACCCCCTCCCTTCTTTTCTTTCTTTTTCTATATTTTTTTTTCTCTTTGAGATGGGAAATAGGATTTTACTATGTAGCCCAGGCTAGCCTTGAACTCAAAACTTTCCACTTCAGTTTCCTCAATACTGGCATTACAAATATACACTATCATGCTAACTAACTTGTTCCTTTTAGGCTTTGTGCTTTTAAAACATTTGTGACACATTGTATATGCTATTTATTGTAATGTTATGTAATAGCAATCAAAATTAGTTTGAAGAGCTTCTGTAAAATCTGTCCAAATTTAGCAGCCAGTGAGATGACCTAGAGCAGGTAAAAGCACTTGCCACACAAGCCCTACAACTTTAGTTTGAGCCCTGGAATCCACATAAAGGTGAAAGAAGAAAACAGATCCCACAACCAAACTGTCCTCTGACCTCTATACTAGATATGCTTGCTCCCAAAGTACACACAACATGCACACAAAATTAAAAACATGAATGCAAGTTTAGAGCCATACGGAATTCTCAAGCTTACTTCTTTATCCTTCCCTCTAAATTTATCTTATAAAATCTCGTAGTATCTTCAACATTTCTCTTGTAAAGAAAAAGAAACCTGATGGCCCAGTGGTCAACAACACTGGCTGCTCCACTCTCAGTACTCATGTGATGGCTCACAACTGCCTGTAACTCCAGTTCCACAGTATCCAACACTCTTTCGGCCTCCACAGGCACAGATGTACATGCAGGCTGAAAGACCCTAACCCTTTAGGCTTACACCCCCTAAGCCCCAGGAAATAAGGAACTAAAAAGAAAACTAGTTCCAAGGGCCACCTGACTCAGCTACTACTCAATCACCCCTGTAACAATATAACAATGTAAAAGGATTTCTGTTAAGAGATGTGCTCAGCTGTGACTGGGATAGTTGCAGGTGTTCCAGGAAGGACCACTGTGACCTTTGGAAACTCCACTCCCGCCCTGGTACCCCCCCTTGAGGTTTCAGGAAGAATGTACATGCTGACATGACTGTACTCACTCTGTGATCAGACCATGATCTTGTGAAACGAAATTGTATGGGAATTGTAATCTTATGGCTTTTGTGGGTTTTCCTTTAAAAGCACCTATGTGACTACAGTAAGATGCGACTCTGGCTCTTGGGAGCAGAGGAGCCCTTCTGTATAGAAGCTTAATAAATCCTCGTGCTGTTGCATCAACTGGACTGGAGTCTGGGTTCTTGGGGGGCCCACCTGAGACCCTAAATTTTGGGGTCCAACACAGGCAAAACACCTATACACATAAAATTTTCTTTTAAAGAGGAAATTTGGTATACATATTAGAGGATCTTTTTTTTTTTTTTTTTTTTTTTTTTTTTGGTGTTTTGTTTTGTTTGCTTGCTTTTTGAAACAAGGTCTCTCTGTGTAGCCTTGGCTGTCCTGGAACTCTCTGTAGACAGACTGTCCTTGAACTCAAAGCGATCCTCCTGCCTCTACCTTCTGAGTGCTGGGATTAAAGGTGTGTGCTATCACTGCCTGGATTAGTGTTTTGTTTTGTTTTGTTTTGATCCAGGCTGGCCTCAAACTTGCAGTCCTCCTGTCTCAGTTACACAAGTGCTGAAATTACACTGTATACCACTAGGCTTAGCCCGAGGATCACATTTTGATGTCTTTTCCATAAATCCTTTTTAAATAGGCTTTAAAAAATAAGCTTATCTGATTTTACAAATTGCGTTCTTGAACTTAGAACTAGAGTTTTTACTTCCTCCTGCAGCAGGTAGAAACAAATACAGAGACCCACAGCTAGACACTATACAGAAAATGAAAGACCTTGGAACACTCAGCCCTAAATGGGATACTCTCCGTTAAATCCTTCCTCTCAGGGCTCAGGGAACCCTGCAGAAAAGAGGTGCAAAGAGTGTGAGAGCCAGAGGGGATGGAGAACTCCAAAGAATCAAAGCCTTCTGCACACACCAGGACTAGTGCACATATAAAATCACAGAGATTGAGACATCATGCACAGGGCCTGCACAGGTCTGCACCAGGTGGGGTCCTAGAGCTGAAAGGAGAATTGGACACATGTTCCCATCCCTAACCCAGAAAGCTATTTCCAATTGATAATCACTTGCAAATAAAAACATTAGTTTTCTCCAAGGAATCTCACTGGAAACAAACTACTCTAAAGGGTAGGCTGCATGCCCAGCATTAAATGGCCAACAGAAAACAAACTGAACAGGATCATTGGCAGTTCCTTGTCTCATAATGCCATATCAGGGCTTCAATTTTTTTTGCCTTATTTTTTCTTTTTAATATATATATATACATATATGGATATAAATATATATTTCTAAATATATACTTATTTAAATGTGTTTCATTGTATGTTATGCATATGTTTGTATATATTTGTGTGCATATATATTTTAACCCTATAGGACCTTTATGCATATATTATGGCTTTGAGT